TAGGAACAAGTGCATCGCTAGTAGTAACAAGGGCATTACTACTAGTAGCAAGAAGCTATGGGTGGAGGCCATCGCACCAAAACAGCAAGCGTGGAGTGTACGCACCTCCCTCCGCAGCATTTCACCACCGTGACCTCTGGAATCAAGGAAATAAGCAACAACACTTACGACAAAGCAAGTATCCAGTGTATCCAGTTTGGAAAATTGCAACAGACATGAACACATACCTTGCAAACTCTCAGCAAAATGCAGGTGCTCAAAAACAATTTCCCGGTGCTCCATTCACTTCCTCCACATGTCCATTGTCTGGACAAATTTGTTCACCTCCGACTCGACGTTTTATGGCTTGGGTCTCGGGCCGTGACCTGATTCTGAAGGGCCTCTCAGGAGAAGCAAAACAAAAGAAAATCATAAGAGCGATGGCCTCCAACCTACTAGCAATGGCCTCCTCCCTAAGAGCGATGGCCTCCACCCTACAAGAAAAGAAGATCCATAAGAAAATGCTATCCTTCCACGATATTCATACAAGTTATTCAGAAAACTCTGTCTGCCACCCTGCGACATGAAGTTTCGACCCTGCGAAGGACTCTTCGGCCTCCTTGCTGCTAGGACCTCTAAGCTATCTCCCTGCTCCCCACAGCTTACCCACCCCTTTCTCCCTTTCTTCCTTTCAAACTTGCCTGGGGCCTTTTGGAAGTGCTGCTCACCTCATGCAAGTGTCAGACAGAAAGGGTAAAAACATTTGCGCTCAATATTAGGCCTCACTCATAGGACCGTTCAGCCAGAGAAGGCTGCTGTAACGGAACTTCCAAGCGCCCAAGTGGTATGGTTTCATGTCTCCAACGGAAAGGTTGACTCTCAACTCATAGGGCTTTAAGTCTCTTTGTTGATTTCAAGCTCCAGAAACTTCACCATCAAGGCTACATGTGAACATCCCCTCTGAGCTCTCAACTCAGCACAGTGGTCACAACATTCTGGACAGGCAGCTTAGCATCCACAGCCTCATGACTGCTTTGCCAATGGCTGTGATACGAGGGTGGCGACGTTGCCAAATTCCACGTGTCTTTTGTCAGGGGCGTTGGCAAAAGCAACAAGGTTGGAGGCCATCGCTCTTAGGTTGGAGGCCATTGCTATTAAGTTTGTTGCTATTTGGTTTATTTAGGGCTTTGCCAAAAAGCAATTGCGTCGTGAATCCATCGTTGCGCAATTGTTGAGTTGAGGGTCAGCTTTGGCTGCGGGGTACTTTTCGTTGCTTGGAACCTTTTGCGAAGTGGCTTTGATTTCAGTTGGCCGTGAGCCGTATAAACCGATGGAAGATCTAAGACACTAGTGGAGAAAAGGAGCTTGCATTGTGAAAGTGCTCGTGTTTTAGGGCTGCCATGTGAAAGTTCGCCCGAAAGCAGAACGGGGGAAACGTTCGACTTAAGGAGGTTAGAAACAATAAGCTAATACTAGCTTCTTGTTCCTAGTAGTAAGGCACTTGTTACTAGTCGCTTTTTGTTACTACTAGTAAGGCACCTGTTACTACTAGCGTGGCACTTGTTACTACTAGCGAACATTGTTACTGGGATTGTTTTTCTATTTTTGAGGCCTGTGCGTAGTAAAGCTGCAAGTGTGTTGCTGTCCATCAAATGATTAACAAGCCGTGCTTAACCAGCAGAACTCTGTAACATGTGGTCCATGGTGCTTTGCAGTTTTGGGTGGCGATCTATGTGGTTTATGCCGATCTGTCCTCGACTTCTGGTGCTCGGTGACTTCAGGTGGTCTGTGGTGCTTTGCAGCACTTTGCGGCTTAAGCTGTGGTGCTAGCAATGGCCTCGAACCTAGTGGCTTAAGCTGTGGTGCTTGCTTTTGATGCAATCGATGGTGAACGGTGGTGGTCTTTGATGTTTCGATCTTGGCCCTGTTGGTTGCTTATCTAGCTTTCCAGCCACCCTCTACATTCAATTCATAAACAACTGAGCTCAATTCAAGGTGCTGATACTGTCATGGACCAGGACTGGTATTCAAACGAGCATTGCAAGGTGGACCTTCTTCACGGAAACTAGACATCAAAAAGGTGTCAGGCTTAAAACATGAAAACAGAAGAAATAAGGGATGACAAAAGGAAGGTAAGGCTTCCTTCGAAGGAGGATTCTACACGCTTAAGTTCCTTTCTTCCTCTCGTTTGTCCTCAGGGGCAGACCAACATGCGTGCCCTCTCAGGCAACACCTCTGTCACGTGTATGGCCTAGCACTTCAGGCTGTGATTCCACTCCCAAGGTCACACAGCTCAGTGCTTTTCAGGAAAAACACATCGGCCTGAGCCTTGTGACATATGCCGTGTCTGTGTTGTTCGGTGTGAGGCGCAGTTTTTCTGCTTTCTTCCGTGAGGTCAACAACTGGCCATGGCCCAGAATTTAAAAAGTCAAGACTTCGCAGTCAGAGTTGGATTTTACACGTGTGCTTGGGCGTCAAAACAACATTGAGTTTTGTGGAAAAAACACATCTGGACCTGATTCACTGTTTATGGATCTCCCGGATTCTTCTGGGCCGTTCTTCAAATGACAGGAGAGCTCTCTGAGCATCTGTACTGTATCTCAGCATCTTTTAAGGCACTGGAAATACAAATTTCACGTGCAGGCGCACGGGCCGACAGTGCTGTGCACGGCCTGCCCAGTCAAGAAGAAGCACGTAGTGTGCGCCAGGTGTAGCGACAGGGCATAAATGTGAGATACAGGGAGCTGTACACTGCACGCCCAGTCGCATGGCAGCCTCCAACAGCCTCAACAGCCTCAATAACAAAAGCGATATGCAGTGAATGGAGGTGTTTTGGGAATACGGAAATGAAACATGAAGGAAGCAGGAACGCAGTGTGAGTCGCATTGTGCCACTTTGCTTCCAAGAAAGCGCCACATAAAACCTATAAAATTCTATGAAACTTGGGTTTTTCCCCAGGTACACCCCTCCGGGGCGCTTGCGAATTCGATTGCACCTCTCCACGGGCCCCACGCTTTGGATATGGCCCTACGCATGAGGGGGCCCGTGGAGTCAGAAGTCCAAGGAGAGCGCCGAATGGAGGTCTAAAGTGACCTGTGACGAAAGCAAAAGACTAGTAGACTAGTAGCTTCCAACCTACTAGTAGCGATGCCAGGAGCTACTAGTAGCTTCTTGTTAGTAGTAGTAGTAGTAGTAGTAGTAGTAGTAGTAGGAGTAGTAGTAGTAGTAGGAGTAGTAGTAAGGCCAGGAGCTACTAGTAGCTTCTAGCTAATAGCGATGCCCCTGCTACTAGTATCTTCTAGCTACTAGTACTAGTAATGCCCTTGTTACTAGTAGCGATGCCCTTGTTGCTGGTAAAGACACGGAAAGCAAAGAGCTCAGAAACATCAGTGACTCACATGTTGCGCAACAGCAGCAACAACAACTACTAATAACAACAATAATGTTAATTACTACTACTAATAATGATAACAATTCTTATTATTGTTACTACTACTCCTACTGCTACTACCAGTCTGATAATCAGTTGTGAGAATTCACTCTGAACGTCAAACGCAGCGGATCCCCCAAGATATGCTGGTGGCTCACCATGGCATTGCTTGCCACAGGTGTCCTGACAACGCCAGAAACACCGACGCAAACCGGACGGCCTTGGAAATAGAGGACGTTCACCATCGATGGTTTGCCGGTACTTCTGCGTAAGACATCGCAAGACTTCCAAAGTTCAATAGGGATGTTGAAAGGGCCGTTGATGTGGTTTCTATTCATTGTGTAATTCTGCATGAGCAAGTCCTCTCTGGCGGCTGCATCTTGCGGAAGATCGCCTTGGCCTGTAGATGCGCCAAATACGACGTTAATCAATTTTGCGTTTTTTTCCTTTGTGGCCTGAGCCCAATGTCAAGAGAACATGTGTCGCGATGCTCTTGGCCAAATAATAGCGATAGCCTCCAACCTAGAAGAGATGGCCTCCAACCTACTAGCAATGGTCTCCGACCTATTTGAAGGGAGCAAGAAATGCAATGATTCATGACAAGGAGATTGTGGTCCAATCGGCTTGTCCAGCAGAACACCGACTTCATCTCAAGCGTTATGCTGAACTCTGCAAAGCTACAAAGCATGTGAAACACCATGTAAAAACGGATCGCCGCCAGCTCACCTGGTTCCAGTAGTTCTTCCTGTGTTTTTTCCATTTCCGACTTTCTGCTGGGCCACAAATGTGACAAAACATACACCTCAGGATTCACTGCAATTTGCTGCCCGCGAAAATCCATCAATGGCTAGCAAAATTGTTTGCATGTTTCGCACGGGTTTGCACCGTTGAACTCTTTTTTCGAAGTAAGGCTCTCGTAGCCAAATCTGCAGGATGACCGACACTTGAAGTCGCACGGCTTGCAAAGGCCCAAAGAGTGCCTGGCGAATGCACTGTGCAGAGTAGTAGCGACGGCCTCCAACCTGCTAGCAATGTCTTCTTTGAGGCTTCACAGAAGTTCTGAATGATCCTCTGACAAGAGATCTGCGCTGCTCTTCTTTTCAAAATACATGGCAGCATGTCGACGCAGACCCAATGGACGGACAGTCATCTCGAGGACTGGCAGATTCCTGTGTCATAGCAAAGTAAACTCGAGCGAATTTCACAGTTATTGACCGATCATTCATGCTCTTCGCAACCGTTCATTGCTAATATCTGGAAACTCATCTAAGTACCTCATCGAACTGAACCCTTCCTCCGCCCGAGACAGTTCTTTCCCGGTCTGTGAATAGAGGTGTGAACACCTGAAGGCTTTTGATCTCAAGAGAAGGAAAAAAGGCCCGCTTGTGATCCTTTCAAGGGTTATGAGCCCAAGCTCTTTTTAGGCGCCTTTCTCGGGCCATGGAGAGGGCGCGATCCTCACCGCCAGGGTTCGACCTCATAAATCCCTGGTGGTCTGAGAGGATTCGCAACGAGGTTGCACTCCGCAGCCGACGACCGGAGACGTTGCCGGCGGTGCCCTGCGATGGCGACGAGGATCTGGAAGGGCCGGTGGAAGGTCCGGAGGCAGTGCCGCTTGAAGGCACGGGTGGTCGGATTGGCAAAGGCCGCGGTTCAGCAGCCGAGCGCCAGTCGGGACGTGGTTTCGTCACGCCTCCAAGCCATAGCCATGGCCACAGATCGGAAGGTCGCGGTGGTGGGGGAGCTCGCCAAACTGAAGGTCGAATGCCGGAGGAGGGTCAGCCAGGACAGAAGGTTGATCGTCGGCCAGATCGCTCCATGGGGCCGGTGCCGCCTGAGGAATCGCCCCCTGCGGTCAAGCTCACTGGAACTAGTGAGGTGGCTCGGAAAGACCCTGAAAGTCTTCAACGAGCTTTTGAAGCAGAAATGGTGCTATTTTTGAGGGAGCAAAATAGTCATCTTCAAGCTGAAGTAGAGCGCCTTAGAAGCCTCCAACAGCAGCAACCCATGGGTACTATGTCCACTCCCTCGTCGTGGGAAACGGTTGATGGGGGGACAGGTGATGGGCTTCGTGGTGACGGTGCTCATGAACATGTTCATGGTGGTGTGGGCCCCTCTGGTCATGATGATCGTTTGACTGGTGGTGTTTCCAATAGGGTTCATGGTGGGGAAGTTTCGCTTAGCACTCCACGGGGGAGAAGTCCTACTACACGAAGGCCTCCTTCTGGACACCATGTTCGGTACACCCCCAATGGAACGCAAATTCCGTGTGGACCTCCACCGCCTGAAGTGATGGCACCACCTGTACCGCCGTTCCCAACCAGTGTCTCGGCAGAAATTCAGAGTGCCTCGGCTGGATTTATGTTCCAGGACTATGAGTCGCTGGAAGTGAAGCGGCGACAGGACTCTCAGTGGGTGCCGCTGCATTTGCGTGAAGGCAAGTCATTTGTGCCTTTCGCTCCTCCAGAACCTCGGGCTGAGCATTTGGAGCGCATGCGAGAAGGGGCCAGCTGGGCGCAGTCAGCAGCTTGCTCGAAAGATGTGCCTCCCACTTCGTCTCATGAAGCTGGCTTTCATCGTGGCTCGGAGTGCCAGGGTTATGGTTGGGGTTCCGACCGTCGGCCTGGGGTGGATCGTGCTTTTGATCGTTTTTCCCCTGGTGAAGTTGGGGATAGTCACTATGGGAATCGAAAACCCAGTCCGGAGCTTCGAGAGCGGGGTGAGCCGCACTATGGTCGTTGGCCGGGTGATGGTGGCACTTCACCAATGCCTTTGCCATGGGGCGAAGGCGGTGGCAATAGCAAGGCAGAGCTCGCAGAGTTGGCAGCTGATGCATCGCCTTTGGAGCTCGGTGACTGGCTTGCAGTCAATGGACCCGTGCTTCGGGACCTTTCGTCGGTCAGTGCTCGATGGTGGAATTTGACCCTGCGTGAAGCTCAGTGTTTTTATGATCGCTGGAAGACTTCGTCTCCGCTGGAAAGAGTTCAGATTGCACCTCGCCTTCCCGACGAGTTGTATGACAGCTGCTACCAGCGAACAGAGCAGCGAGGAGTGAACTTGCTGTTGCGTGCCATCCCTGCTGACCAGCAACAGGCCTTGATCACGGCCAGAGAGCTGAATTCAACAGCCCTTTTGTTTCGCCTCATGGTCCGCTACCAACCGGGTGGCTCTGGAGAGAAGGCGATTCTTTTGGCCAAGTTGACAACGCTGGACAAGGCGACAGGAGCCACTGATTTGGCTGCATCTCTCCGCTCTTGGCGTCGTCATTTTGCCAGGGCTCAAGAGATTGAGGCGGTGCTGCCGGACGGTACATTGTTGTTGAAGGCCTTAGAGCCTGCTTGCAGTTTGGTGGCTTCGCTTGACGCCCAAGCGTCATTTCGACTGGCTCAGAGTCGTTTGCAGTTGGCCATTGATCAGCAGCCTATCCACCAAAGCATCTGGAGGTTTAGTCAGTGTTTGTTGGCTGAAGCTGAAACATTGTCGTTGATGATCAATGCTCCACCTACCACACCTTCGCCCATCAAAGTTAAACAGTTGGAAGCCTCACAGAAGCAACAAACTTCGGGTGCTGGCACAGGGGAGAAGGGTAAGGGTGGCAATGCAGGGGTCTCTACAACCTCCACACCATGCCGGTATTTTCGGTCGGATGCTGGCTGCAAGGCTGGAAAGAATTGCAAATGGTCACACAGCTGGGAGGGCGTTGAGGACAAAAATGCCCGATGTTGGATTTGCGGCAGCAAAGAACACCGCAAAACAGAACGCCGATTGAAGTCACAAGGAAAACCTTCCCCTGCCAAAGACACCAAGGATGGCAAGAACAGTGGTGAGCCCGGTTCGGGCTCAGGGGGAGGAAAAGGGGCTTCAAAATCATCATCCTCGTCCAACGTCATTGCAGCCAACCAAGCTCCTATCAAGGTGCAGGAGATGGAGGTGTGCTCTGATGGAGGAGGACAAGTACAAGATTCGCAGTCCAATGAAGGGGCATCAAAAGGGGGTGAGACTGGGGCAACCTCCACAACAAGTGAGGCTTTGTTGCAGGAAGCGACCAAATTGCTGAAGTCCCTCCGTGTCCCACAACTGCGCGTTATCAAGATCAGCCAGCTCGAGCACGAAGCAGGTGACCTGGTGCTTTTGGACTCCGGTGCCACACATGCCCTACGACCAGCGAGGACCTGGCAGGAATGGCAAGCGGCAGCACCCACTCAGGTCACTTTAGCTGATGGCATCACATCCAAGCTTCGGTTGAAGCCTTCATCAAAGGTCCTGCTCTCGGACCCTCAGGACGAGGCGATGGGCAAGTCCTGGATTGTGCCTTTGGGTGGCATCGCCGAGCTGGGGTACAAGTTTGAATGGAAAGGAAGCCTATGTGGTCTCCGTGATGAAAGGGGCCAAGAACTCACAGTGGTGGTTCAGCATGGGTGTCCAATGGTCACTCGGGCGGTGGGCCAAGAGATGATTGATCAGTTGGAGCAGCGCCAGAATCATGTCATCAAGAAGGCGTTGCTGGTGAAAGCGCTGCTGGAAGGTCCACAGAGCAGTGATTTGGCCTCTCTTCAAGACTCGACGGAGTTGGCCCTGACGGTGAAATTGAAGGCCCTGTTTCCAGCTCTGCCTGGTGAGATCCTGATGAGGATCATCCCTGACCTGACGTCACTACATCAGGGATTTGATGGGCACCTTCTTCCATGGAATCGGCGGAAACGCCGTAGGCTGGACAAGGCAAAGCAGATTGTCCTGCATTTGTTTTCGGGCCCTGACACGGACTACTGGCAGAAGACCTTGCAGCGGGATGGTGTTGAAGTCTTGTGCATTGATTTGCAAGCCCCCATTGCAGCAGATCTTCATGATGATCATGTTTTCCGGTTCCTGCTGTCGTTGGCGGCCTCAGGCCGAGTGAAGGCCCTGGTGGGTGGGCCACTTTGCCGGACGGTGTCGGCACTCCGATACCAAGACGATGGCGGTCCTGGCATCCTGCGGACGGAACAACATCCGTATGGCCTGCCGACTTTGTCTCCTTCGGATGCGGAGCTGGTGAATGGAGACAGTGTGCTGCTTTTTCGAATGTTGGCCTTGTACGTCCTTTGTGAAGATGTTCGCCTTCCTCAGGAGCCTCAGACAGCCTTGGCCATCGAGCAGCCTGAAGACCCCGCCAGGTACCGCCCGGAAGAAGAGGTACGGCGGAAGCAATTCATGTCCATATGGCGCACCAAGGAGTGGCAAGATTTCGCCACGACCTACCAAGTCAAGTTGATCAATTTCGATCAAGGTCCAATGGGCCACATCAAGAAAAAGCCCACTTCGCTGGCCTTTGTCATGCGAGACCTTCAAGTGTTGAATGAAGTTCGCGGTCCGCCAAGTGGTGTCCAACCAGAAGATCCAGCTCCTGATCGCAACCAAATGACCATGCAGGAGCGTTGCGCTGAGTCCAAACAATGGGCCGCATGGGCCCCGGGCTTGAAAGTTGCTTTAGTGTTGGCCTTGCAAGACCATCTCCATCGTGGCTCAACGCCGTCTTTGGAAGCTGCCCTTCGTCCGTTAGGCCAAGTGGCTTTGGATGGCTGGCGCCAGCACTACCTCAATGACCACATGCCAGCTAGACGCGATTGCAAACATTGCGTCAGATCCGCTGCTCGCAGCAAGCCACACAAAAGGATTTCACACCCAGAAGCATACACTTTGAGTGTGGATCTTTCTGGCAAGATGGTGATCGGCCAAGATCAACATCGACAGGATTGCAAGTACATGATGGTGGCGGTCTACACCTTTCCGGTGGATGGATCTGGCCGAGCTTTGGCGGAGGTTGAATGTGGAGACCTCGCACAACCGGGGTCAGCGGCAGTGGAGCCTCCATCCATTGATGCTGAAGAGTACACTCCTACCGAACCAGGCGGTGATGATCCTGGAGATGATATGCTGGGCGAAGAACCGCATGAGATTCCGGGGGAGGATGATGGAGAAAAAGATGGTGGGGCTGTCAAAAAGGGGCATGAAGCTTTTGAGGCATGGCAAAAAACCATCGAGGAGGCCCAGGATGTCATGGTGCGAAATTTGACCTTCGTTGAGGTGCTCCCAGGCCGTGCGGTGACCCACATCTTGCCCGCCCTGGCGAAGATCTACGCCAAGTTACGGGGCCTAGGACTTCCTCTGTACAGGCTCCATTGCGACAGGG